TCAGTCTTTCTCTCATTTCAGTCAGTTTTATTGTTGACAAACTGAACGGTTTGTATTACAGTCTAGTCCAACTTAACTGAATGCAACTGTCTGGTACAATTATAGCTATTCTGAACTATGCAATATGAAAACTATGCAGCCCCTTCTGCAACTAAAGAATTTGAAAGTAAATTAAAACAAAATATAATTTTACATTAAATAAAAAAGTTTTAAACTTAATTAAAATAAAACGTGTCTTAAATTAAAATAAGTAAACTGTCATGTTTATTGCTGCCAAAAAAAAAAAGTTAAACACATTTGGACAGTGAAGGATTCTTGCTCAGAAAAAGGATCAACATGCTCTGAAGTCAGAGCAAAAACTTTTTTGTAACAAAATATCGATTTCTGCTGTCCCTGTATCGATACATTATTAGCAAACAAAATATCACGATACTACACAGTATCGATTTTTTCCCCCACCTCTACTTTTCACTATTATATATTCCCACGTGGTAATGTGTGGGTAAGTGTGTGTTTTCTTTTTTTTTCTTTCTTTTTTTGTTTTGGCATTTGGTCAAGTACAGTGGAGTTGTTGCAGAGTTCTCTGGGTTATTTAAAGAATGCAAGACCAACAAAGGTGGGGTTTTCCAGGGTCAGAATGGGCTGGTGAGCAGTGACCATGAATAGAATTAGTGAATATACAGTTCCAGCAGTGAGTCTGTCACAAATTCCAATTAAGAAATCTCGTTAGCAGATTGTTTTTATTACAGAATGAATGATTGGTTTTGGATAAAATCTCTTTGAGAAAAATTGTGCCTAACAAGAAAAGTAGATTATGATGTTAATATTATTAAGAAGAAGATATAAAACTGTTTTCAGGAAAAATAGCAATTATTTATAAAACCAGTTTTGCAAGAAACATTTGGACAGATGTTCAGGTTTCAACTTATACAAGTATCTTTTGCTTTTAGGATGCTATGATCAGGGGTGCACATAAGTTGTCCGCACGTGTGCATGCACTGTCAAAATAAAAGATGCGCACCAGATAAGAAGTTGCAACGCGTGTTTGCATGCATAAGATTTTCTGGAGGAGGACAGACATGATGGGAATATGCCGCATATTCTGCACCACATCTCTGCGTTCATCATTTGTTTGAAGGCAGCTCACCTCCTGCAACCACTTTTCTGAGAATATGTGCTTCTTTTGCGGTTCAGACTCCTTCTGACATTTCTTTGGAGGTGGAGGAACACCAAAATAATCGCTTAAAGGAGCTTGCTTCTTCGACATCTTTAAGAGTTCTAAACAAATGTCTGTCCTCCCCTGGCTATGACAGTAAACTGAAAAGAATGGGTCAAAAATGGAGTCTGGTTGATATACGGTGAAGGTCACCACTTACTTCAATAATGATAATAATAATTGTCAATAGAAAATTGTACTTGGTAGTCAGTATAATCTTTTAATAATATAAATTTACATATGGTAGTGATAGGATGTGCGATCCTCAATAGTCTGCAAAGGCTTTGTGTGCATTCCAGAGTGCTCTGGCATTCACACCCACATCCTGGGAGCATGGGAAAGGT